CCCCCACCCCCTCTTCAACCAAGGACTTGGACTCTGCTTCTCTTCCCCACCTGGAGTCCAACCCTTCCACTGAGTCTCTTTCTCCTGCTGCCATTGTGAGTGTGTGTGTGTGTGAGAGCCAATAATTTCATGGGGCTGTGTGGCGTGTTGTCTGTTTAATAAAACTGTTATTTGACTAACTTGGGTTATATAAAACCCTAAGTTGGGTTTTGCCTTCCTATGGTTTGGCCCTGCTCCAATCTCTGCTCCTCATCCCTCTAACTTCTGTCTCACTTCTGCCTCTCCTGCTTCTGTCTCACTGCCACCTCCAGCCTCCAAACTCCCTCTTTTTTTGCCACTGTCTTATCCCCACTGCCTTTTCCTTTTACCCTGAGCAACTAGGTTTCTGCCTCAGTTTCTTTCCTGGCTGTCTCTTCCTTGCCACCACTTATCTGCCTCCCCAATCTCTAAGCTATCAGCCTGTTTTCAGCCCCAAACTCCCAGGTTTTTGCCTCTTTCTCTCTTTCCTGGCTGTCTCCTTCTTGCCACCACTTATCTGCGCCCCCCCCCAATATCTCAGCTGTCTGCCTCAGTTTCCAGCCCCAGTCTACCTTAAGTAACCCCACGCCTCAGTTCCTCAGCCAGCTTCTCTGTAGTCCACCGGTTCTAATCCCGGTTCTGGCAACTTTCACTCCCTACACTTTAACTCTCTCACCTTAATCTTCCCCCAGGTACCCCAAGCACACACATATATACCATGCCATCCAAGTTAGGAACTTACCTGTGTGTATGTGTAGGTGGGGTGTGTGTGTGTATGTATATATATATGTGTGTGTGTATATATATATATATATATAATGTCATTGTGTATGATATACGAATTAGTGATCTGTGTCTAACTGTTGGGGTGTATAGTGTATGTGCTTGAATTGGTGATAGGTATGCATGTGCTTAGGCTGGTTTGGATGTGTATGTGCCTGAGCTGGTAGTGTGTGTGTGTATGCACCTAATTGATTTGTGTGTTTGTATATGTGCAATTGTGTCACACCCTCCTGTCTAACAGTGTAATACTGAGATCCTGAGAGTTGGCCTGACCCCACAGGGCAACAAAGCGAATTCTCAAGATGCTCTAGAATGACAGGTGGGAGATGTTCCTTTAAGCACCATAGCAGAATGTGTGACTTTTTGGAATTAAGAAACATCTTGACCTCAGAGTAAATGCTCTAAGGCAGGGTCCCCTTTGGCAGGGGCAAGGACAACCATCCTGTCTCTTCTCTATCCTCCAGCACAAGCTTCCATCTCTCCTCCAGCATATTTCCTCCTGAGGCATATATGCTTATACTCATATATTTTAATAGAGGAGACTGTGCAGATAGGCTGCTCACCCATGTACATGGCATAGAAGGGCAGGCGAGCACCTACCTGCCCGGACAGTGCAGCTTGCTGGGGGTGCCCACCCATGTGCCCAGTGCAGGGGGGCGAGGGAGGGGAGTGTCTGCCCATGCACGTGACCCCTGGGCACTTTGAAGTTGGACAGCCCTGTGCTATGTAACAACGGCTAGGATAATGCTACTCCATGTTCAGCATCTGGGCGTGAACTGCAGCATCTTTGAGAAAAACATGTATTGTTAATGAAATTACTGCAGTGATGGAGAACCCTGCACAACCGTAATAGGGGATTAATAAATAAAACCATTGATTGGAAAGTTGTTCCAACAGCTAACTATTCACATACAAAAAAGCAAAGACTATATCTTTCTTCAATTCCTTGATGAAGATTCTCTATTTATAATTACTTTTACAGGCAAATGTATCATTAATCAATCCATTAAACTAGTTTTTAATCCACAAATGCAGTGGAGGCAATACTTACCTGCACAGAAAATAAAGTGCTGGACCCTCCAGATTAAAGGCCCGGTGAAAGTGTTAAAAGCCCTACCTACTGGAAAAGATTGCTTTCCCCAGACTGCCCTTCTTCACAATAGCACTTTCTAGTGCTGTTTGTAAAGTGCATTCAGGTTAGAAAGAAGCCAAACAGATGTAATTAGCTTATACAACAGCACTACTTATCTCTATGCCAAAATGCAGCGGGAAAATATAAATGCATGAATGGGGGAAGATTATAGGATGACACTTTGCACCTGTTATGTAGTTCAACAACCTGCGTGACCTGCAGCCGATGTAGCAGTGTTAATTGCCTACATGTGAAAGAGATGGGATGTTCTGGACCAAACCAAATCCTATTATCTCACAACTACAAATCATACTGGAATTTCTTTTTTTTACCTCAAGTATTTCCATATCAATTGTAATGAATAATTTGGTGCATCTTCTTAGGGAAATATGTAAATTACTGTGTAATCACAATATTGCAGCAAACAAGATAAATGCAAGAATGATCACCTAAACATCTAATTAGTTTCTCTACACAGTCAGATTTATGCTAGAGCTTCTAATTGCAGCCTAACATTTTAATGAAGGTTTCAACATTGCATAAATAAGACTGACAAACTATAAACAATATTCATTTATTTTATTTATTCCTTTGCTCAAAAACAATTTACCTTTGTAAAACTACTGCACACCTGCTAGGGAAGATATGTTTATGCGCTCTCTGCTACAAATCTAAAGAATTGCCATTATAAATAGCAATGGAAGTACCACAAGCAAATATGGCTGATCCTTTGATAGAAGACAATTGCAAATGAAAACCCCTAGGGATATTTAACATTTTAATATTTAGTCTGAATAGGTCAACAATGCATTTTATGAAAGGAAGAACTGAAAAATGTAAACAGTTTTCTTCAGATAGCCTTTTCATCACGGAGGCCTGCATCAATTTTCTCCTGAAGTCAGCTAGCTCCCTAAATACTCTGCATCCGGGTGGCTCGGTGGTTCTGCAACAGGCACTTTTTGACAAGAGAGCCTGGAAAGCCACGCTTCTTTCCCAGACCTGACGTTGGGGGCCTGCAGCCTAAAATCTTGTCGCCTATCTCCCAATTATACAAGTTAGTCTAATAAGAGAGATTACTTCATTACATATACCTTGCTCCTAGCATCTTTTCTTTACTTTTTAAATACAAATCTTGTTTGCTTTTGAAATGTAAATGTAAACGTAAATGTTGGAGACTGTTTTGGAGACAAGGGCTGGTTTTTGTTCTGATTTGATACCAGCAGCATACAATCACTTCCTCTCTTTTGTAGACAATTTCTGTACAGTATTTTTAAGTTGACAAGAATGATTTCCTGCCCAAAGTCATGTGTACTGTAGTGATGTTTTATTTAAGACAATGAGGCCGCACCTTCACTGTTCAATCTTTCCCCCTCCAGATGTATCCCTTTTCTCTGCAAACATTTTTTCTAAGACACTGCATGTTCAACACTTACTTGGAGGGGAGGATTTATGCCAGAGCCCAGAAGAAGGCCCCATCCTTCTCAGAACAGCTAGTTCTTCAAAACAGACTCGCCCACAGCTGCAAGGTAGGCAGCTAGAACGTTATGGCCATAACATAGTCAAACATCTGCGGATAAAACCGGACTGGAGTTCGCAAACATGCCAAAGCGCTAGCCAAGAAGAACAAGGATAGGCAGGGCATGTTGGACATGCAGCCTTAGGGAACAGAAATCTACTGCTTGGTTTGGTACTTTTTTAACCTGGTCTTGAAAACCAGTATACATCGTGCAGAGTCCAAGCTTCTCTCTGACCCACAGACTTCCTGGTGGTATTTTTATTAACACAAAATTAACAATAAAACAATAACATTCATCTCAAGCTTTCTTCCCAGATTGCCTGTGCCTATATTTAGTCTCAGGACTGCTTATGCTCACAATAGCCTCTCTAGAGATTCATGTCCATCCGTCCCAAACTTGCATGACATAACAAACATATTATTTTTATTGAATGTGAGCTTATGGACTCCTTTGTTCCATGCTAAACAAGTAAGACATGGGAAGACAGTCTCCTGAGGCACACTGCTTGCAATCCAGGCAAACAGAAACTCAGCATTATCCAGAAAGTCCACATTCTCAGGGTGAGAGGTAACAGGCAGACACAGAAATGTATAGCAACAACTATGCAGAAATGCCATCATTTCAGTATGGTAAATCCAGTCGCTTCTGAACACCCTCTGCATCAAAACGGAGCTACTCCGTATTAACCTACGTTGGCTAATTTTGAACATGCTGCTCACCCTGGGATTGGGATATGCGTGTTCGAGAGAAACCTTTTCTGTCAGAATATCACTACTTTTCCCTTTTGTTTCTTGGCACAATGACATTCTTATAGACAGGAGCCCATGGATGAAAAACACATGGCAATTTTTCGGTAGGGTGGGGGAGGAGAAGAGAAGGACACACAGGTTAGTGTTTTATGAATTAAAGAAAAATAAATGATGCAATTTATATTACGTAGTTAGCTTTAATAAATGCAACTCAGCTCTGCAAAGGTACCAAAAGAATTAGAAGGTGAAATTTAACTGGGACAAGCAAAAGTTCAGGTATTCTTGATGACTGGGTTCTTCAGTGTTAAATTTAATATGGATTTAAAGAATGATTTATTTTACTTCTCTTTCTTTAATCACGAAAGCAGGGAAGATTTTTTTTTATGCGCTGCTCTGCTACTCTTTGTTTAATCCTGCAAATCTTTATCAATGCTCTAAAGCAATTCTGTTGCAGGGTGTTTGATTTCCATAATCCCTAAAGCAGAGACATTTATATTTTATGTGAACTGGTTCAGAATACTTTGAAATTTATAACATTGAAATAGTCTCTTACCCTGGATAGAACAGAGATGTAAAGCAACAGAAAATCAGTGTCATACCATTGATTATCTCAGGGGGGGTTTTGCCAGTATTTTTTAACCAGTATCTTCTATGAATGGTCCTGTCTGGTAATGATTCTTGGGGTAGATGGAGCTTCACGGTGTGACGATCTGCTGTTCCATTAGTAAAAAAATAAAACAAAACGTGTAGTGTTGCAGTAATTATCATAAAGAAGTAAGGTTACAGATTACTACATTGTATTTGACACAATAATTGTACATGCAACCACTGCAGAATTAAACCCAGCATTTAAGCAGAAACAAGCAGATATGAACTTGCTGTATGCGTACACGAATACATACATCTTCCATGCAGCCTCCTTGGCACTCTGCTTTCAGAATTTTGTACCTGATTTTTCTAGCAGCATTTGGAGGAATGATAGGCCGATCTTCTATGTGTTGAAGTCAATGACAAAACTTTGATGGGTTTGAATGATGCAGGCCAGGTCTTGTATGAACACTTTAAAGGGAATTATTTCAAACTGGTGTAATTTTCTAAAGAGCCTAATTATGTGCAGATCAATTTATTTGGCTTGCCCCTTTACCTATTTCTTTACTCTTAGAAATCTGTGATTTAGCAACATCTTATAACCTAATAGAACAGACTTTTCTGCTGGATCCTGCAATCAAAGGAACTATATATATAACAGCATTTATGTAAAAATTGCAAAAAAAATGTTAAACTCGCGAAGTCAACACTCAGGAGTTAGGAAATGCTAAAGTAAAGTGGCTTCTGCAGCCTTTGTTCAGGCCGCTTAGAGAGAGATGCACACATTAGAGAGTCACAGCGCTAAAGACCAGAAGAGAACACCAGCATCACAGGGCATTAAACTTCACCAGTTACCCCTGCACTGAGCTCAGTAAAATAGAAACAAAGGATAGGTTGGGACCCACGGGATTACCGAGTCAGGTTCTTTGCAGTCCCAGGCAATCACATTCTTTAGAGCTTTTTATAAACTGATCTCTCATACAAATAATTATGATTTCTGCACCCTCTACTCCTGTCAGGAGGCTGTTCCAAACATCCTCGTTCTGATACCTAGAAACCTCCCAGGTCCCAGCTACGTTTATTCGTGCCACTTCTTACCCATTTGTTCTTGTACCACTGTTGACACTTCACTTAAATAGTGCTGCTTCCTCCTCAGCTTCAACTCCTTTATAGAACTTTACAGAACAATCATTTTGCATCTCGGCCTCTGCTTTGCTATGCTAAACAAGCCAAGCTACATTTCTCCCCTCTCCCTTCCCCTGACCATCCTAGTAGACCTTCTTGGCGTCTGATCCAGTTTCTATCAAGCATGTTTCATTAACGCAGTCCTGCTTTTTCATGCCATAAATGAACATATTAAAAGAAGGCTGAAAGGGGACAGGGCATCTCTTTATAAATAGTTCAGTGGATTAAACATCAGGGAGGGAGAAGAACTGGAATTGAGATTTTTTACCCATCAGAGAAACTAGATTCCAGAAGAACTTTCTAAAAGGATTTCTTGTCCCCACTGCTTCTTCCTGTTTTTAAGATGGATCTGGATTAGTTTATGTAAGGAAATATATGAGACGGTTTCCTGTGATCGCAAGTGGCTGGACTCAGTGGCCCAGGAGGTCCCTTACAGTCTCATATTCTCAGGATGCAACATTACTTTATATAAATAGCTCTGTTATATGGTCCTTCTAACATAGCAATAAAGTCTAAAAAGCATCATTTTTTGTTGGATCAGTGCTTGTTTAGAAAAGATATATGTTAGCTACCACGCTGAGGAATAAATGAGAACCTCTATTATTCTTTGCATTTGTTCTCCAATCAATATCTATAAAGTTAAAGTCTTCTAGAATGACAGCTCCTATCTGTACTTATCTCCCCAGTTTCTCCGCAATCTTTATCCATATGAAAATCTGACTCAGAGGGTCTATACAGCAACTTTAACAGCTCCTCAAAACTAGCCCTTTTTCCATTCTTTCCCACAGTGATTTTGAACCAAACCAGTTCTGTTTTACCCATGTTCTCCATTCTGATTTCTTTATGCTCTATCACCTCATTAATGTACCATTTCCCTCCTTTTTACATGTATTTCTGTTTCCTGCTGTAGTCACCACTCTGTTTCTAGTCTAAGAACTGCCATGGGGCAGAGGATTAAGGGGGCCTGGCATGGTATCCCCTAAGGCTGGGGAGCCTCTAGAAAGGAACCCTAGCTGGGTTATCTGAGCCCTCTCTGGGAGTACTGGGCCTTGGCCCTGCAGCTTTGTCACTGCACAGAAGCCAGGTCAGCCCTTTAGAGGTGCCAGTCTCCACTGAGGAAACTGGGCTGGGCATCAGACAAAGAAGAAAAGAGAAGGCTTGGGGGACTAGATGGAAGCCTATAAGTATATAAGGGGTGTGCATTTTAATCTTTGTTTTGGTGTACAAATAACTTAGTTGCACAGAGATGGTTAAAAGTTTCTAGCAATGGTAGAAAGCCATATTTTCCACTACCCTGATTCTAGCATTAGTTTCCCTAAAACCTGCTGAGCTGGCTAAAGTTTGACAAAGTTATAAGCAATGGAAAAAATGGAAACATAATAGAAAGTGTTAGCCATCTTCAACGTTGTGTGTTCATAACAGGGCACGAAAGTGTGTCTGCTCCCTTTACGAGCAGAAGAAGCTTAGCTAGAGAGCCCTGAGAGCTAGGCAGGGCTCCACAGCTGCAGGTAACCTGGGCAGTGGGCTAATGAGGGAATTAGCCTGCACCTGCACTGGTCAGCTGGCTGGAAGGAGACAGGGCCCTGGGCACATATAAGCCCCAGGGTTGGGGCTGGCTGGAGTTAGTTTTCTAGCTATAGCCAAGGGGAAGTAGCTCTTGCAGAAAAAGCTACTTGGAGCTGCTGGGTTGCCTGTGCTGCTGCAGGTAAGACTGGACCCTAGGAGCTCCTAAAGTACCTGGGGCTAGGAGGCACACACTGCTGAGGGAGAAGCTTGCCTTCTTAAAGGGGCAGAGTGTGGCCTCCAGTCTCATTGTTACGGTTATGGTTATGTTGTAGCCCAGGGGCTTGTATTCACGTTATGTGGACTGGGATGAGGCTAAGTGGGGAGGAGGAGGAGCCTCATTGGGGCAGACTACTGTGCAGACAGCCCAGCATTGGAGAGGGTGCAGAGACAGGGCTGCAGGGCTCCCAGCATCTAAAGGAGGCTGAGCTAGACTAAGGCCTCATCAAAAAGGACAATGTTTAAATACCACCTGGGCAGCATGGGATGTGGTAAAGAGAAGGTTTTGGAGCCGTGCATCTAGCCCATAAGGTTTGGGGTGTCTCGCAAGGCAGCTACTTATAACAGGACATAGCGAGGGGTCTAAGTATCCGCAGGGTTTCATGGGGTCCATCAGGGCCGTGATTGCGCAGCAACCTGAGGGCAGCCTCCCTATCTATATCTTAACCAACAAGACATGGCAGATGAGACTACAAAGCGCCTGCAGGATGAAGCTGGCACGGTCATGGAGTCCTAGGGGCATCACGGCCATCCCAGTATTGCTAAGATATCTGTTAATATTAATCTTTTTCATTATGATTTTATGGTAGTATCAGTTGGGGAGATAGGATGGCACAGGAAGAAGCAACGACTATTTAAACATAAATATTACCTGTTAGCAATCTTGACAAATAATCATGACATCAGAGGTTGAGAGACTTATGTAAAAGCTACCTGCAGCTGGAAGTTGCAGCTCTAAGCAAACAGTTTGATGCTACAGTTAACAGTCAATCCTTCTTTGCAAGCTGTCGGGCACAAACACCCTTCTTCAGGCAAGGAGGATGCCTGAAAAAGGGTGTTTGTGCCCGACAGCTTGCAAAGAACAATTTTTCCAACTAATTAGTTGGTCTAATAAAAGAGATCACATCTACCCAAAGAACCTTGTCCACTTGTGTCCTTAGGCCAACATGGCTACAACCAACACCCCCGAACCAGTCAATCTTTGGGTATTCTTCCATGTGGATTCTTACCGTTTTGACTTGCAGTTTGATTTGTTTGGTGAATATTTTCTTTGTCTCCCTGGTCTAAAGGCTCGGAGCATGGCGAGGGTGACAGTTCAGACTGCTCAGCATGCTGTAGCAATTCGCTTCCCTTTTCTAAGGTTGATTGTTGGCATGATCTATTACTCCGGCTCCCCACAGGTTTTATCTTTAAAGGGAGGGGGAAGAGGGAAAGGAAAGAATTATTTAATAATATGCAATATAAATTACTCTAACAAACTACTGAAAAAAACAAGTGAAACACTGATATGTGATTGTTTATTTTTCATCATAAATTTTCCACAGTAACTTTTGAGTGAAGGAAGACACTGAAGTGCCTCTGTTGCCTCTCTTTGCCTTCCAACTGCTTTCTCTGATTATACACCCTGTGCCTGTAAGTTGGGAGAGGGGAGGGGAAAAATGAAGGTAGTAGAGGGCACCAAGCCAGAATCCACTTTGGGTTAAGCCAACACAAGTTGATTCCATTCCTCACATGTAGGAAGCTGATATTTCAAAAGCACATTGCCAGTATTATGGAGAGTAACAAGGTTAAAAAGTTTGGGGAGCTGCTTCTATAGTACGATTCCCTTAAATGGAGGTTCTCTTCTGTGTTTGTGCCTAAAATCTCTAGGGGCGTAGCTTGTCTTGCCTAAATTCATTGTTTCTGGATGCCTGACTTTGCAAGTGAACAGTTTATGGCGAGGAGGGACTGTATTCTGGAAAGTCCTGACAATGAAAGTTTGGGGAGCTGTAATTGCTAATTGGCTAAACACGAGCTGGCAGCACGGTGTCAAAACCGTAATGCAATCTCCAGGTCTATGAAGGGAAACGTTGAGTAGGAGTAAGGAGATTATATCATCTCTGTATTTGTCACTAGCAAACACACAACTGGAATATTATGCCTAGTTCTAGCATCTGTAACTGGGGGGGAAGGATGATGATGTTGACTGGCTGAAGCAAGATCTGAGTCCCAAAAATAATTCAAAGATTGAAGAAAAAATTCCTCAGTCTCAAAGATATTATTAGAATATGTTCATTTTACAGAGAGTCACAAGGGTGACTTAAGCAGTCTGTAATACCTATGTGGGGAAACAAGCACGATCATAAAGAGGGTTTTCCAATCTAGCAGACAAAGGTATAACAAGACCCAATAGCTAGAAGCTGAAGCTAGACATTCAGACTAGAAATTTGTTGTAAACGTACAAATGAGGGTAACTAACCACTGTAGCAACTTACCAAGACCTGTGTATTCATGATACTGGACACTTCCGAATCAAAATTGGTTCCTAAAAAATGTGCTCTCGTTCAAACGGGAATTTAATTCAGGGAAGCCTTGTTGTTTATGCAGGACAAAATGTCAAACTAAAAGGTCTCGGCCATCTCCTCTGGCTTTATGATCTATGTGCCCCTTTCCCATGAGAACATTCTAGGAGCATACTTGGAAAATACTTTGCTTTTGGTAAACTTACTACTTATTTCTAATCTGAACTATGGTGCTGGGTTTTTGGTTGTAGCCGTGTTGGTTAATGACACAGGCAGGCAAACACTTTAGCCCTTCTTCTTACCTCTCCAGATGCCCTGGTACTAAGTCTTCTGCCAGAAGGTGGAGGTGGTCCAAGGACCTTGGATCCAAATGCAATGTGTGACACATCTTGAGTTTTACAGTGGCGGATACTGCCTTGTCCTCTATTAAGTAACTGGTCTATTTGCAAGGATTGATTGGGGGAGGAGGGAAAGAAGACGGATTTAAAAGAACTGGCTTTAAATGATCATTATGCTTTAGACTGAGTGTAATTATAGGCAGAAAATATCACAGTATTTAAATAGAAACAGAAGTCTTAAATTCCTCTGTTCTTACTCTTATAGTTGCTTGGAAATTATTTTTACAAAACATACAGGAAATAACTACATAGAAAATAACAAACGGGAAATAAATCCAAGAAATAGCTATGTTTCTCTCTAACAACCCCCAGAGGTATAGATTCCGGCATTATTTTACTGCTAAAAAAATTCAGATGTATATGCCTTTTCTTTACCATCATATAATTTACCCACTTGAAGCAAAAAGCTCCTGGTCAATATGATATACTTTTGAATTTAAAAAGCTGTTTAATTCTGTGGTTGAAAAACAGGACTAGTTACAGGTATCATGTTTTCTCTACATAACAACGAAAGAATGATGACAGAACGGCTAAGTCTGAATCAGGCAGAAGAAACAGCTCAAATCAGTCAAGAATCAAAGTACAACAGTAGTTAGTTAATCAAGGTATTAATTACAAATCTGAAGTAACTGAAACAAGAATCACTTCTCTTTCCTTTTTACCATCTGAAGTTCCAGAGCCAGCTCAGTTTCTAGTGCTGCCCAGCAGTGCTGTGCACAGACCTGAGCAACTTCCCAGTAATTTTTAAACTCCTTTGTAATGAATCTCTAACTTAAAAAAAAAAACAAATTCCCCCAACATGTTGACAATATTTTTAAACAGTTAAAATGCTGTCAGCTGAACAGCTGGTCAAAGCAGGAGAAAACAGAGATGGAAATTTTGCGTATGAACCTAGTGGTAACTGGCTTCGCGGAGGCACACAGAGTTATGGGCAAGAGGCTTTTTCTTTATTAAGGTTCTCCTAACATTACCTTATCAAAGTCTCCCTTCTAAGGATGATAAAGATGGAGGACATCTTCATAACAATAATACACAGCTCAAGAAAAAGCAATGCTAATAATGCAGTTTTGTGGAAAAAGAGACACTTTTCTCCAATGTAAGTTGATCTCCATTTTCTGTCTTGAGATGCAAAATTTCTGTAAACCATTAGTGTTAAAGCAAAATATGCTAATGTCTAAAATTCACAACAAAGCTAGTTAAATGAAGTCGGATCTATTTGACTTTCATATTCAGTTAAAAAATGTCTGTGTTCATACATTCACCAGCACGTGGCTTAATTCACTGGTAAAATAAAACAAGAGAAGCCCTTGTATGCCATGAGCTTCTTGTTCTCCTCTTCCTTAGCTCATATTCAGTTGCTATTACTAGCTGCCGTTTCAAAGATAACCCTCTGCAGTTTACATCAATTTCTTTAATTTGCTGACTGCTTTGGGATGCTGTCCACATGCCAATTATAAAAGCTGATTAACATAAAAATCTCCGTTTATGATCACATGAATTAACTGCAATTAATTGCCTACATCAACACATACCAGTCACCTGCCATAATGAAAAAACGTGTGTAGTTAACAAATAGATGTGATCAAAAAATAATTTGGGTTTTGGTTAGTAAACAAGAAAAAAGTTTAGTGGACTGAAAAGTTTTTAATTAAAAACTGTAACTTAAACTTATCAAAGCTGGCATGTGCAAAAAGGCCTGCTATCTGAACTCTGAAAGGAGGAGCATCCAGAAGCACTCATATTATATTCATAGTGCAAGGTTAAAAATAAAGATTAGATTAAACCTGTAGCTCAAGGCATTCCATTTTTTGCTAACTAGAGAAAATGAACTTTGGGCAGGTCAAGGATGTTACCACTAATTATTTTGCCACATTACCAAGGGCTACAAGTCTTTGTAGTTAGATGGTAAAACCTGAGGGCTCCGTCTAATTGTCTTCTTTTGAATAAACGCTCATTTCTCTCTCCGGCTACATCATTCTCATTATATTAGTCATTTAAAACTTGCATTTTCCCCCAAACCCACAGCCTGACCAAAAAAACTGCTGATTTGTGAAATCCTGTCACTGTGAGGTCAAACTCCAGCCTTCTCTGCTTTCGAACAATACAATCCATTTGAAACTTTTTACCACAACTCTGGCTTGACCGTGTCTGGGCCAGAAAACACTACAAATATCATCTGTTTCTGAATATTATTCTTTGCTGTTCGCATAACGATACTTACCCGTACTTGTTTAAACCTGTTTTGAACGGTTTTGTATTCAGCAAGGGCCCCACACTGCTCTCGTATCAAAACAAATGATAAAACTCCTATTAGCTTCAGTATCCTAGGATTGAGCCCTCAATTACTGAAGGGTTGAATCAAAACAGGGCAAAAGGTTAAAAAATTTACAAAAAGTATCAGACATCATCCATAAGATAAGGGCAGGGGATTAAAAAGAGTTTTCTGAGTAAAATATGCAAGAGTTGGTTAAAATGAAAGGAGGAGGTGGGTTTTTTAAAAAAAAAAAAAGAAAGGAAATGTAAAAGCCTCCTTTCTCCCACACTATCAAAAGCGTATTTGAGCAGTACAGACTTGCATTCAGTTGCCACCTTTTCTGACATGTGAACTTTATTAGAATAAGCAGAGAAAACGAATGGACCTAGTGAGCAGGAAGTCGTGTCTTGCTGGTCTCCTTCCCTGTCATTCCAGTCCTTGCTGAAAAGATCCATTCTGTCAAAGCCCCTAAACACATGAAGCTAACGGAGATGTACTAAACTAGGGTAACAACTACCACCAGAAACAAAACCAACTTCAGGAAAGAAGTTCAACGTCTGTTTTGTAGGAATAAGGATGCCTTAAGTTTCCTAGTGCCCATTACCAGTAAGACCTACACCTGAGTACAACACATCTGTCGGGTCTCTAGAAGCTGGAGGCCAAGCGCACGTAGCAGAAATGCTGCAACCTTCTAATTTATCTGAAATCCTTCTCTTTAACTATCCAGCAGCCCTCCAGTTAGCTATAAAATCTAGTTTAAAGGCACCAGAGAGAAATGTGGACTATGCCGAGAGAGTTGCAAGGACCATCAGTGCGGCTGTCTAGCCACTAACTGTCAATGAGAAACCCTTCTAGGCTCTGTTGGGTGGAGATGAACTATGGGCCACTTTCCAGCTGTACTCAGAAGCTTCTCCTGTGGCCCAGCTCCAAACTCAGAACACCAACAGCCCACAAATTAATTAATCCTACTTGTATATGGCACCCCTAATTTCCAAGATAGCCTTCTAGCTGTGTCTGAACATACTGGCCAAGTACATACAGAAGCAAAAGGCTTCGCCCAAGAACATCCTCCTGCAGCAAAATGCCAGCAAGCAGATATGACGTACAGACCTGAGGCATCCAAAGAACTGACTCCTGTTTTGGGCAGTGCTGCCACAGCCAGGTCACCCGGGACAGACACCCGAACTCTGGAGCCCCGGGAACTGCGAGAGATCGGACAACTGAACCCGGCCCTAGCGTGACTGGCTTCCTTGTTGGGGGAAGTGAACGACAAGGACGGGGTTTCCTCACCTGTAAGGCTGCGACAGAAGTACTTTCAAGTGCCTCTCACAGGCCTGTTGTCAGGATAACTGAGAGGATTTGGAAGCAAAGGGCTGGACCGTGAATAGGGAGAGGTTTGGCTGGCATCAGGATGCAGCCTTTAAACTGCTCTTGTAACTCATGTAGGTCATTCTGGACCAGGTTCATATTACAGCTACAAAACCTATTATGTTATTTGGTGGATGAAAAATTAATTCAGAAGATGTAAGAACAGGAAAAAACTGAGAGAAATACAGGAAAAAAGTTCTGTAGAACGACATCTGAATGTGGGCATGCTACATGCATCTTTGTCAAAAAGGCAACTTTTTTCTTCCTTAGAAGCAGCTAGATAACTTTCCAGGGGGGTTTACTGTTGCAAATGGACTTTAAATAATAGTTTTTTTTGGAAATAATGGATGAGTATGCAAAACTAGATTTACATATATTTATGAATATTAATTTTGATATTGTATGCTACCAAGGAAGCATGTTTTCTTTCCATTTCAGTTTATTTAATTTATCCGATGAAAATTTAACTATTGTCGAAGAAAAACAAAAGCAAGCAGTGAACCGGGTCCCTCCAGTATTTGAAATGTATATGCAGCATGAGAAAAAGGTTCTTGTTTTAAATTAGCTGGGCCATAGGCAGTCGTAGCACTGAGAGAAAACCAAGCAACATTAGTAGTATCATTAGTTTTGATGCAGACATTTTCACTGTATTTGTTTTAAGTAGATAAAATACTTTTTCTGTTTTTCCATTCCTACAATCGAAAAGTATAGGTCAAATGAAATACGGCTGCCCTTTCTTTGTATAAGTGAGGGTGGGGGGAAAAGTCTAATGTTCTCTGGAAATGAAAGCTCTCAGGCAAACTGAATACTAATTTTTCAGTAAATTACTGGTTTTGATTTGTGCTTAGTGGACCACTACATCCTGTCATTAGTGAGTTGAACTGCTCAATTTCCATAACCAGACTTGATATTGTGTTCAATTAAATTGAGGTCCCATTAATGAAAAAAAAATTACTTCCTACAGTTCTACATTGACTAACAGTCATTAGCTAATACGGGCTGGGAATTGAAGGAATTAGCAGTGTAAATTTTTAGTCAAATTAGACACAATGATTTACTGAATACATGCTGGTTTTATTAATTTCATTTAAAGCATTCAAAACACTACTGCTTCTGAACAGGTTACATTTCTATTTGTAATTCAAGAAAATGAATCCTACATAACAATTTATAAGCTGCAGCATGCTCTTAATTTTCAGAAACAACGTATGTATGTTCATGAACTAAAAAGAATCTATGCAATATGCTTGTCTGTTCTTTTCTCATACTGCACATGCATTCAGAAGCAAATGTTGTGATTTATGTGAACATAGTGTTGTGGCAATGAATATTATTCACATTCACTAGTGACTGTTCAAAGATCTTTTTAAGTTTCTATGTACTCAGTCTCAAGGCGATGAAGGTGCATGCTACCAAGGACCTAGTAGGAACAGTCCCTGAATGGAGACTCTTCCATGTTTCTGTTCCACTTGAATAACATATGATCATGAGATTAAATGGAAAACGTTCTCCAATGAGAGTCCAGCTTCACCACCTCGCTAAGACACAGTGACGTATTACTTGCTAATTCATGGGCAGGCTCAGCTATAACATCTATCAAGAATTTTTAGCTCAGGAATAAAAAGAATTAATTAATAGTTCAGTTATGAGTTCTCCAAATACCCTTTTACTGCAATGCATCATGGTGTCCTTGAACTTTAAAGTAAAAAGATGCTTAAAATTCTTGGGGTAGCCTTGAATTTTTATTCAAACATTTAATTAAATGTCTTGTAAAATTAAACCAGAACAGGCTGTCATGGGAAAAATGGAATAAAAATAATGAATAATTACAACTCTCTCAACCCTAAGTTGTTATCTGAAATTATATTTTAAAATAAGTCCTGTTACCTTTTTGTTTATGTATATTTTTCACAGGCATATGATACTAACATAATATTTTAATTCTTAATGACTGTATTTTGCTGCAGGTTTTTAATAAGGCTATTTTTGTTGTTACAGAATTGTTTAGAAAGAGAAATAACTTTTGTAACAAGAAGTGAAGAGATGTGGCGCATAGTCTTGGCGCTTGGTCTCTGCCAAGCCTCACCTTAACAGCACATAAAATGTTATGCGCATGTCCAGTGTGGACACGTAAATACAGAACCAGGCATGTCATGTGGGAACAGACCAACAGTTCAGTTAAAGCAGTGCGTCTCAGAGGGACGGCAGGGTAGCATTGCACCTTGGGGCACCTAAGCCTTGGTCAAGTGTCCCCATCACCATTTTGAGGCATGGGACACTGAATATATGTGATGCTGTATTCATGTCGCATATGACACTGTGGGTGCTTTAATTAGAGCTGAGAGAGCCACTCTAATTAAAGCACCCTGCCCCCACCCTGGAGCATGTGTATAGATGCCCTCAGAGACGACCTGGTTCAGAGAGGCCTATGCTTTTGCAGCCAAGTGTCTCTGACAATGACCAAAGCCAGGATTTTCAAACCATGGGGTAAGAACCCTGCAGTAAGGACTTGCAGAGATGCTTGCAAAGCAGATTGTTCATCCTCAGCTCAAGAAAGACTGGCAAAATTGTTAAGCATGCAGCTTAATATCCCTCCCCAAATTTCTACTGTCATGAAATAACTCTGGATATTGTTGGTCTCTATACAAATTTTCAACCTCTTGGAATCTCAAGCTCAATTTAATCACATGGGTCAATTATCTCCTTCTAACAGTTTCTGTAGTGATAGAAGTTATAACTTAGAGGTGCTAATTTAAAGGTGCTCCCAAACAGAAGACGGAGGAAGGTGGGAATTGGGAGATGGACCCTGAATTAGGGAGCAGTTCTTTAGTCAGCAAGTTGGGGTCTACAGAGGTAGCCTACTGATCCACAATTAAAGTTTGTTCAGTTCTTCTTAGCCCTTGTATGCCTGTATTTACTGAATCCAGTGATCACTACAGGTTTTTCCACTGATTTTACTAAATATCCCTTGCTTTGCTCTGCTTTTCAAGACGGAAAGAACAGAAAGTCTTGATTTGCTTCTCTGTATCAGTATATATACCTTTTTAGACTCGTAGCATCCCTATATCCCTTTTGTGAACTGAGTGGCACCCTGATTCAAAAACTAATTTATTTGGTATACTACTAACCTGCTTGAAGGAGGAGGCACAGTTGGCAGCAAAGAACCCACAGCTGCAGTGAAGAGGAATGAGCCTGCACTTACCTTGCTTATCTCCTCTCTCCCTGAGTCCCCTTCAAAGACTGTCACAGCACCCTAGGATGCTGTGGCACCCCAGTTGAGAATCACTGCTTTATACCATTCATTATTATATACACTTTTTGATGGTAAGCAATGCAAAGCATTTCAGGCAGTCTCCATACGAGAGTATTTCCTTGCCTCTGATCATTCTTGCTATTCCTTTTTTGCCCAGCCTTACAATATCCTTTTTGAGGTGAGCTGACCACCAGTGTACGCAGTATTGCAAGTGAGACTATATAACCAGTTTTATTTAAATGCCATAATCTTCAATATTTGTTCACACCATTCCTTATGTATCCTCACTTCTTGAAAGACTTTTAAAATTAAGCAATACACACACTAACGCAAAACCTTAGCCCTGATCCCTCCCCCCCCCACCATTAACTCCTTTTTTTCCTTTTTCAGCGTTGATGATGGGTTAGGGATGTAAATATCATTTAAAATATATTAGTTTAATCACCTCTAATTATATCAGTTAAATGATTAACAGATAACACAGTAGCTCAGACATAGCTGCTGATGGGAGCTGCTTCCGGAGCCCTTTGATAGAGGGGAGGAGGTGGCAAGCCCAGCCAGACTGTGAAGCCCTGTGCTGGGAGGGAGGGAGCACCTGTGAAGGAGCAGCTAATTGCTTAATTGCTGAGTTGCTAGGCTTTGGGTACTAGTTCCCCTCCCCACTCTCTCCTGCCTGCCCTGCTGCCTTCTGATTCCTGCTTGGGCACCACGCAGCTTCCCATCCCCGCTTCTCTGCCAGACTGTGCCTGCCCTTAGCTAAAGGATAACCGGTGGGCTAACCAGTTTTCACTACACTTATCGGTTAAACAATTGATCCTTTAATCTTTCACATTCCTATGATGGTTACAGCCTTTCAGATCATGAGCTCCCTGATGTTATTCTGTTTTAAATACCCATGTACATTTTTAAAATGACAGCACCGGATGCACAAACATCAGAATTTGCATCCCCAAGGCTGTACTCAAGTATATTTTATTGTTGTATTTCAGAGGCTTGCAGCCACGTGCTCAAGACCACATAGTGGTCCTTGCATCTACAAAATGCAGGCACATTTTTCCACGCACAGTTTTAAGCAAGTGCAAGTGAAGTCAAAGGTAACGAAACTGGACTCCTAGTTTTATAGGTAACATGAGCTGTATCTGTTTAGCTGTATGAACATTACATTACAGTAGGTCCCACAGAGAACAGTTTCAGTATGACAGCATACCTGATTCTGATGAAGTTAAGGGATGACTTCCAAATCTTGTTTCTGGTTGGCGAAGTTTAGTCATGTTCAGCAGCTGTGTAACTTGTGGCACATCTAGATTTAATTGGCAGGCTCGAGGAATGACATCAGTGGGTTCATTAGCTGTGAATAAACCATGCATCTCTAAAATTAAAGGCAAAGATGTTTAAGCCCAAAATGTAAACTATTATTAAACTGACAAGTCTGCAAATGACTGGGCTAACTATGCACTGCGTTTATTACTTTGATGAAAATTAAGCTTAAGTTAGAATACGTCATCGTTCTCATTTTCAGCTAGGCTGAGCATGCAAAATTGTATTGAAATCAGTGGTAGCAGTAGGTAAAGGAAGAATTACTGAAGAAGCAAATAACTGAGCCCTAATAATACTAGGGATCTCCACTATTCAATCTTGGCTTTGGTGTTCAGAAAAAGTGCAGTAATTTGTTTGCTTTAAAAATAAGAGTGTTCAAAGCAAGAGGCAAGGTGCCCTTGCATCTCGGAACCATTTCAGTCTACATTATATTACAGCTTCTAAGCAGCAAACTTTCAGACCCTGATTAACTGGGTCTGCTTTTTCTTTTTACCTTTTGCTCAATTTCAGTTGCTTCTCTGGTGTAGCACTCAAAGATTTTGAAGCTCTAACAAGCCACCCTCTGCATCATCCATGTTGTCCTATAATGTAGCTTCATTTAAAGGGAATCACAGTACTTGCAAAGGGAAATTGCAGGTTAAAAATGGAGTCTGGTGTTTCATACTCTGTGCTGTTTTCATAGTCTCAAAGTCAAATAGTCAATAGTGCTATAGTGACGTAGCATCATGTGTAGATGCACCCTTAATCACATATACAAACATTACAAATTAATTTATAAACCCAATTTTTTGTTAGCTGTTGATGACATCAACACAGTACTAGGTGGTACAAAACCAAAGTCTTGTCAATTCAAGTACTACTGAAGCTTGACTTCCTATCACAGGTTACTAGCTCGTCCAGTAAGCTTTGCCTCAAGCTGATCATTTTTTGTATGAACTGGAGCATATTTTTAAAAAGATTAATTTAAGAATTTTAAGCATTAGAGAATCAACTATATTGCTAAGTAAGTTGACTGCAATGGCTGATTACTCTTTCTACCTTATTTCTAGCCTGAATTTGCCTAGCTTCAGCTTCAAGCTTTGTATTTGATTTCTCCTTTTCCTGCTAGACTAAAGTGCAGCTAACCATTAAAATCTCTCTCTTTTTGAAGAGACCGATCAAGTCACCTCTTAACCTTCTCTTGCATTATCTACATGAACTGACTTTTCTAAGTCTCTCTCTATAGTGCAAATTTTCCAGATGTTGAATCATTCTTGCAGTGTTAAGAAAAAACCCTTCACATTTTTTATAAGATAGAATCAAACTAAGTCATATTAGCCTAGTTTCCATAAGCAGCATGTGGGCAAGGAAAAAATCAAATCATATGGATAAAGGAAGAAGAATCCGGCAGTAAGCTGTAGGTGCACTTGTCATCTTTAACTAAAAAGGTATCTTCCTACAACCTAGTTTAATAAAGTGAAATACTAAAACAGGAGTGGGAATGAACTTCAGCCTCTAGAGAAATATTCTTAAATCTTTGCAATATGGAATCTACTTATTCACCTAATACTGGACTTCAAAGATCCCTATCAGCTTTCAACCTTCATTTTCTAATCCTGATTAAGCAAACATAAAGCTGTTTCTTGTTTTATACTTAAACCATAAACCCTTTGGGAAAGGGACCATATTTTTCTTACAGGCCCGGACAAGGAATAGCACAATTGGACTCTGGTTTTCTTACAAAAAAGTGATAAAACAACAAATATGCCAAGATGGTTAAATAAGAAAGCAGTGCTCACTGCTTAAATGATTTTTTTATGCATCTTCAAGACAGATTAGGGTAGAAACTAGAGATTAGGCCTAAAAATGTAGTGATATAATGAAAAGCTGTCAGCATAGTAAAATATTTCTTTCCCTTTCACCTAATTGCTCTTGCATGGAAAATAACTTTCCAGGTGCTAATATGAAAGAAGATCTCCAACTCTGAACCTGGAAACAAGAATAACCACTGAACATACACACAGAGCTAGCACCTCAGCAGATATAAATCATCTTAACTTCGGCACTTTCACTGGACTTAAATTGATTTAAGCCAGCTGAATATCTGGTCCCTGCTTTTCTTAGATAACAAGCCAACTTTGATCAAAATATTAAAAGTTAATTGAAAGTTTATAAATAATAATAATTATTGTTAATCTATAATTGAGAATATAGTATGGGGCTATTTTAATGCAACTAAACCCTGGGCAGTTTCCTAATTGTAACATTTCTCTAGATAAGGAAAATTCATAATTGCACAGAAAATATTAATGCCCAGGAGCTGTGTAATAATCACAGAATGTGATAATCCAAAATGCAACACAGTGCCATGCATGCAATTTATTAAAACTGTCTACTCATTCCATTACCCACATCACACTTTGAATTTTGCAGCTCATTAAGGACATTTTTACACTGGCTTAAAAACTGGAGAATGGAAAGGAGAAACAACATGTAGTGCTAGTATGGAACTTAATTAAAACTAGTTAAGTACCTTTAGCATCATATGTACCAACTGAGACCATACTGGACTTTCTGATTTAGTTCATGATTCATTCTGCAAAGAATAATTTGTTCTAAAAACCTTATCACAAAAAAATGTGAACTAGCTTCATGGTGTCCCATTTCTTTATACAGAAGATGAATTCACTACAACCTACCACGAGTCCACACTGAAAACACAGTATTCTAACAGCCAATTAAGTATGTTGTAGGCACTTGCTATCTAATCTAATACTAAACAAAGATGGAAAATGTTACCCTGAGCCAGCTTTGATTCAACAGTTGAACAATCCACTGTCACATCAGTTGAAATAAGGACATTGCCAATTGTCTTTTTTCTCAGTATCCCCTTTCAGCTGTCAGCCTCGGAAGCCACTCAGTGAAGGTTTGAATATGACAGACATAACAGATACTGAAAGGGATGCTTGCACACACCACACTGGTCTGTGAAGCAAACAGCAGTCCTTCAAAACAGAATCTTTTACAAACTTAAATAACCTGGATACAACAGCACCAAGCAGAATGCCTCTCTGATGTCTCTTTGGACAATTAAGAATAGCTTGGATTGGGATGCTGCGTGCAATCAATGTGATAATACATAAAAAGGCACAGTGTGTTAAGTCATGGACAGACACATTCTTTAGAACAACCTCTGTAGCAGTCTACACGGTTCCAAAATAGATATAATTACTGCCAGTTATCTATAATCACAATCTCTTCACAACTTGGGCCATGTGAATGCTGACACTGTTTCCTCTATTGAGCTTCAGTGGCTACTATTCACATGCAAGAGACTGTACCAGATCACTTTGAAAAGCACAAAATCAGGTGAGGTACTCAGGGAGTTAGGTGCTTTAAAGCACTTTAAAATCCTCTACCACCCCTAATGTTCAGGGCCTTTTCTTCCTGCTTCCACTACCCTGCCCAGGCTACCTACTTAGTGTCTCCCTCGATGTTCCTCATCTGCCCCCATGCGTTTTCTCCCCAAGCTGTGAGATGCATTGGGAGGACTTTTCACGTACATCTATTGAGTACTCCCTCTGTTCAGACTGCTCTTGAAAATATGCTAATATGTTTTGTGTGACACCTTTCAAAATGAGTCCTTGAGGAATTCATGCTACCTAAATTGATAAGAAAACCCCCAACTCTATATGCTGGTTTTGGAACTTGTCATCCTATTACCATGTTCATCACATGTCCAATTTATTCTGTAATTTTGTCTAATGAGAACCATGGCTCCCTCTACACTTTTTGCAAGGCTCAGTAAATATTTTGAAAAAGTTTTTAATAATAATTAAATTAACCAACTATGCACTGATCAAGAAGGGGCGTTTTGGGCTTAGCAACAGATGACCCTGCAACAGCCCAGAGGGGCCCCTGCAACAAGGGTGACAGCTGTACTAGCCTTCATGAAAGGCTTAAAACGGGCTCTGGGCAGCCTCCAGATTGAGAGTTTACTGAGTCTGCAGACTGGGTTCAGTGTTCTCCAGGAGATTTCCTGGGACACAGGAAAGGGAAGGGAAGGTCACTGCAAACTCTTGGTTTCTCATTTCCTCAGCTGCAAAATTGCTGCAATATTACTTTCAACAGACCTGGACCATACTGCAGATAAGCCTGCTAGTAACTGTGAGGGGCACAGAGACTACAGGCACATACAGACTATAGAGACTACAGGGGCATGATATCTATGACAACATGATGGGGTTAGACATTTCCCTTTTCTTATGGTCTTGCCCCTGTGAATATGTCTGGTTATTTAAAGAAGGAAGCCTCCATCATTGGTTAATGCTCCAAGATGCACTGAATTTGGGAACTGGTGAAATATAGCTCATTTGATTGTTTTGCATTTTCTTCTAGACTACTCTGTGAAATCCTTTTCTGGGCCAAAATAATCAAAGGAATTCTAACCTAAAAGAGGTTTGATGAAGCTGATGCTCTATAGCAGGGGTTGGCAACCTATGGCTTACAGGCTGGGTCTGTCCTTCCAAGTGACTGCATCCATGGACCCCTGGAGTCTGGACAGTAGTGGCATTTGCTCCCCACCCCTCCCAGGATGGAGCACGGTAGTGGGTGACAGGCACCAGTGCCGAGAGTGCCAGATCCAGAGAGGGCACCTGTAGGTCCCCTCCACCTGCTGCAGTGTAGCTCCTTGTAGCAAGTCCCTCCTCTTAACCTTTCATTCCTCTGCCCCAAACTATTTTTACGTGGCTTCACTGGTGCTACCCTTTACCCTTTTACTGGTTCTGTTGTCACTGCTTTCACTGTTGGCAGCAGTCAGTGACAACAGGCAAGAAGAGCAGCTGGGGAAGCTGCAACAGGGGGACAAGAGCAAGACAGCAGCTCCCAGCTCAAAGCAGGGAAGGCTGGGGCTGTGGCAGCAGGCGGTTTGGGCACTACAGAGAGTTATGCCTTTAGAGCAGCATCCAGGAAAGCAGTGGCAGTGCCACCTGCCAGGGTGCAAGCAGCAGCTCACCTTTGCCTTAAAGGTTGCCAACCCCTAGTCTACAGAGCTACATATACATGCATTTATCTGATGTAATCTATACTCCAAGAATACATAGGCATGGCCTATACTCCATTTTTCAAGAAATCCTTGAAATGTTTAATCCAAAGACTGATCCAAGAAGCTTTTGATTCTGTAACAGGAAAATTAATGACAGCACTGCAGGATATTATCTATAAACATACCATCCCCTTCAGCTGTATCTTGAGGCTTTGATTTTAAAGTGAAGATCTTTCTGAGTTTACAATTAGCTGAGATAATGATTCCATCCAAAGACTGAAAGACAGCGCCTTTGAATATTTCACTGGTGAACGCTACTAAGTCAATACACAGATTACACCACTAGAAAAGAGAAACAAAACATTTTTAGTTCAATTCTCAAATTATTGCACTACAGTGATAACGTTTAACTCTCTACTATTCAAAACTGTGGTATGGGATTAGTCACTGGCAGTTTTCTATTATGCCATTGTGTTTTGCTATTTAAAAATATTATCTCAGTTATTACTGTTGTATTTGTACCTACAATAATCACTATATCCAGAAATCAATATCTGCACATAAACTGATGACTGCATACTCAAATGAGCACTAATACCTGGAATATCCACACAGAATGGTTTTATAGCTATTAACTGAAGAAAACAGTTAAAAAAATTGTTAACTGCTAGTGCTTTGATAAATATTTTTTTGCTTTCAAAATTACTTTTTTTTTTTAACTTCACTTTAGTGCCTCAGTATTTCTGCAGACTATGCTAAAATGCTGTTTGATAGCTTGTACTAATATAGCTCCAGGTACTGACCTCTCAATCCTTCTTCCAAGCAATGAAATTATAAGGGCCTTAGGTGCTTTAGGAAATTATCCTGTTTAAACAATTTTTTAACTACTGAATTGCTAACTTGATGCCAACCAAGTTTGCCAGAAAGATACCAGATGTATAGTAGATAATCATGTCACATATGACCTGTTCTTGTCCAAGGTTGTCAGCAAAGTTGAGAACAGCATCATGACCAGATGGTTAAAATTACTGTTTAAATACAATTTCTTATACAGACAAAGCCTACAGGACGATTTTCCCAGTAGGGTCATAAAACATTGTGACAAAAATTGTATAGTATCGCTGCACTAAATGTTCTTGTATTGTTCCAATAGCTTCTGCACCTGTCAGTTTCGATTTTATTCTAACAGGTTAACATCTGCATGAGGCTCATTTTTGTATAGTATTGATAGATAAGTAACTGAAAATTTCTCTTGTGTGGAATATAATACAAATCAGTATTCTCCTAGAAAACAGAAGGGGAAAAAGAATCTATTATAAAAAAAAAAACCAATTTCTAAATATCAAATGTAAAACATTATTGGGGGAGGGGAGGCGGTAGAAATCAGGTGCACACTTTAAATCTACTCCCAGCCAACCTTAGACGAAAATGGCATCCATTATTGTTCAGCCCCTAATTCTGGAAGTTCAAAAAGGTAAGGAATACTTATGAATAAACTACGCAATGGAACAGAAATGCAAATTTTAATCATAACTGACATTTCTAAGTCTACTGCTGGAGAAGTTATCTTGCTCAAAAAATGGCATCACTTATAAAACTGCAGTAGAGCAATCAACATGTAAGAATACAAACCATGCTCCACCTGGCTTCCATGAATAATAAGAGATGTATTTGGAAACAGCACTGAATTACGCATGACAAATATTCCCCTATTTATACAAGACTAACATGTTTATAGAAATACTGATTTTACACTGAAGAGAGGAGCCACCAGTAATGATCAACATGTTCACAGACATACAATCTTAGATGTGCAGAAATGTTAATTTTGACCAGAAAGAGCAACATGGCTTCCACCGAGACGTACAATAAAAAGCTGGACAGCCAACAAGCTCAAAACATAGTTACATATTCATTGTCCAAAGAATTTAGACCTAACCTTAAGATACACAGGCTGTTCAAGGATTAAAGTTATTAAAACATTTTCTCATTATAACTGATCAGAATGTTTAGTCAGATTTCTGGTGAATGATTTATTGTCTGAATTAAACCTTATAACTGAAGTTCATATTCTGATTGATCTTAATTTATTGTCCGTTAATGCGTACTTTAGTCCTGAAACATTATTGTTAGCTTGACACCAAGACCAACTAATTGAAACTATATTGAAGAAAAGTAATTTATTTCAATGGATCTTGAATTAAAAACTACTTCAAGGGTATGACCTGATGCATATTAATTTTTAAATAACAGTTCTTGCCGTAAAAGTAGAAAAACTCATGGAATTTAAAAGTACAAAGTTAACACAACTGCCTTCAACTAAACTATTTTAAAATAACCCTTAATAAATTTTTGAATTTGTGAAATATTTTCTCTACTATCAAGCCTTATATCTATCTGTGAAGTATATGAAGCTGTGAAGTATCCTATAAATGTTATGTATTTGTGCAGTGTATACATACTCTTAAACATTTTTAGTAAACTCACTCATCTCATCTTCAGATACTTCTTTAAAGTGGCAGCAATATTTGACACCGCTGGTTCTCTACAAGGTGCCCACTAACTACTCAGATTTCTGTTCTACTAAATGCTTATCATATAATGTGGTGAAATTCTAAAAAGAGTGGAGGTTGATTTTTTTATTCTATTATTTTGAAACTGGTCATTTTCATGCTTTCTAGAATCGGCCAAAAAACCAAGAGGTGGCTGAAAAGGGTTACTGACCCTGAACTCCATTAAAGGAGACAAAGGCTTAGGAGAGGATAGGAAGTTCAAGGACTGCAAGGGAGGAGAATTGGAGAGATGGAGTTTGGTCATGAATGATACTCAGACTGGAAAGACAGCAGGAGTTCAAAATTTATCAGGACAGAAGGGTCAAGATGATACAAGAGTAAAAACCTGATGCAGAGGCTATGGGTTTATATAGGTAGATGAGCAGTAGCCAGAGAAAGGCAAGTGGGAAGTGACATGATGTGTTTGAATAGAAAGTAACAAAATCAAGGGAGTGTAGCAGAATAGGAAGCAGCAGAGATCTGTTATAACAGCCAGAAAACACCGACTATACCACAGCTCCGCGGCCACCTCGGCTTTGGTTGTCACTCAGGCTGCAGGCAGGGATGAAGGCAGTCATGCAGTTGGAGTCTGAGGAATATTATGCTCCAGTCCCCAGATCATGCAACCTGCCATGCCACACACAACTGGGGAGTGGCGGGCACCTGGAAATAGGGGGTACCTGCAAGCGGGGAGCAGAAAGTTCCCAGCCCTTGAGCTTCACCCCCCACACACCTGAAAACAGCAACCGGGGAACTGGGAACTCCCCACACTCCAGGTGCCACTTCCACAGGCATCTGGGTCCCAGCTGCATGCCCACTTTATAAAGGTCCAGAGTGCCATGAGCCCAACATCAGAGAGCCTTTCCCTGATGCCGGGTTTACAGAGCTCTGGACCTTTAAAATGCGTGCATGAAGCTGGGAGCCCCGAATGAATGTCCATGACTTTTTTATGTTCCCAAGTGCAGTAATCTTGGCATCGGGGAGAGGCTTCCCAGTGTCAGGCTCGCTGTGCCCCAAGGGCGTGGCTGGGGATGGGGGAGCTCTCACCTCCCTTGCTGCACGCTGCTGGCTTAAAGAAGTGCCTGCACAAGCAGTGTGGGGTGGGAACAGCTCCCTCACCCCCAGCTGCTCACGCTGGGCATCTTTTTAAAGGGACGTGTGCAGCTGGGGCTGGAAAAAGCTCTCCTCTCCCCTGCTGCTCCTGTCAGGCACCTCTTTAAACCAGCACATGCAACTGAGGATAGACGCAGCTCCCCCATCCCTAGCTGTACACCCAGCACCCTCTGGGGGATAGCTGGGTTCGGGACCTGGAGCTGCCTCCAAGCTGATCCTGCCAACTGGGCAAGGGGTAGCTTTGTCCTGAACCCTGGGGCTACCCCACGCTGGACCCTGACGCTCATTTGGGCATCCGGATTCAGGACCAGGCAGCCCCAGTCCTGGTTCAGATCCAAGCTGTCCCTGCCTGATCCTCAGGATCAGTGAGTGTCACACTCCAGAGCTGCGCCATGCCTTGAGGCTTGCCAGGGTCTAGCACCTTAAAGAAACTTAGATTGGGGGCTGCACGGCAAGGCTCTTGAAGGTGTCAGTCCTGACAAGCCCACATCCTGATGCTGACAGTCTGCTTACACTTGGCATCAGGATGACGGGGCACGTCACACGTTCAGTTTACGGCACCATACTAACCTGCCACAAAGATTTCACATATTTTTGAGTAATATCTGTGTGGCTGGTTGGCCATGTTATGGCTCCATGAATTTGAATGTGTGGTCAGTTGCTGTTTATAGTACGATTAACATGTTAATTGCTCCAGAAATATAACGTGTGCTGCTTGTGCTACCTGCTACTGAGCAGCTTGTCTATCACTCAGTGCGGGGGGAGTTCAGTGAACACACACACATACATGCGCACACACACAGCATGATACATGTCTCCTCAACAATGTCTTGAGGAAGTTGCATCCATTAACATGACACCAACCTTAATAAAATAGATTTACATATGTATATATATTCCAATACAAACAAACTGAGTTAAATTGCACATTAAGTAAGATTCTTAAAATACCTACTATTTTGCGCTTGATCATAAAAAGAGGAATTTTTGCATGCAGAGGAGTTATAGACAACTCCTTCTGGACTGTTGATAAATACAATCTTCTTTTAGTATTTCCTAAATCAGTTACTCTGTAAAAGAGAAAGTGGGGGGTGTTAGAAGAGATGGATCTTTGTCAATTCAATAACCCACTATCTTTGGGCAACTACAGAAAACTATTATTCATATGCAGAACCTTTATATCAGCAATAGCAAATGGGGAATTTAAGAATTACTTCTTTTACAAGATAAGTAATGAGATTTCTTGCTCAAATCCAAACTTGGTGGCTACGAGCCTGAATATATAAAATCACTTTACATGCTAATTCTATTTCAATGCTCTACACTCTTCACTCGAGTTTCCCAGCCCTTCAGCCTATGAAAGAATTCAATTTGTATGAATTGAGAAGCCACTAGCCTTTAATAATCATGCTTGTTACTGCCCCTTAAGCTTGTGTTATTTTGGGACACGCTGTCACCTACTAAATAGAAAAACATTATGGGCCGCCTTTTCCTAAAAATGCACCTGTCATTTTATATAGACTCTTTGTCGACTTAAGGATAGACACAAAACACTGACTGTCGGTTTCACTTCCTAAGCACATATCTCCAAATGTGAATTATAATATACAAGTTTATTGTTCACAATTCAGGTCATCTTCTAGTGACACCAAGGACACTGAATCTGAACAGCTCTAATAGATTTAGACCACAGCCATGATTGCAAAGATTAGGTTTGCTTCAAATTGATAAAGAGGCTCATTTTTATGTTCTGCTCCCTTTAGGTCTCAGGGGTAGCACAGCAGGCTTAGCATCCCCCTACCTGTCCTGCCTTGTTATACTGGAAAATGGATGTTACCCTAAAGGCTGTGTTTTATACATGGAAATCATGATGAATTCATTTATTATTTTTGAACGACTTTATCTATTTCTACTAGACTGATCATTTCCTGCAATTAACAACCCCCCGGGAAGATGATGACAATTCATTCTGACAAACAACTCCCAATTAATGGTAAGAGAGTTTGGATTTTTTTTTCCCCATTTTAATCAAAGCTGGTAAACTTGGGATTTAATGCAAGTGCTTCAGTCCAAAGCCAAGTAAGAATTTCTTCTCGGCACAAGTGGCATTTTCCCCTCTGATTTCTTCAAAAAAGTGTTGTGAAAGTAGAGACTGTTTCTAGCTTTTTGTAAGCTGTGAAGACAACCTCCCAGAGTTGAGCTAATATAACACCTTCTTTCTGGAGCTGCTGATGGATATCCTGAGAGCGCACTGTGAAGTGCCTTCATCCCCCTCAACAGGGTGCAACTCTGAAGCCTGTGACACACTTAGATTGTCTCTCCAACCCTGTCCACACCACAGATATAACCGAGTCAAAGACCCAGTTATAACCCCATTAAAAGTTAATAGCATCTTCATAGAATTTATAGGAATCCCTTTACTTGTTATCCAGTCTTGTCACCAGTCAAGGCTTTTGGACAGCAGATGAACAAAGTGTCAGATATCATGCACACTCCAAGAATTAACCTAGCTGCAATGGGTCCCTTGCTAGAGCTGTATCTAAAGTAGAATACAGGGCCTAGAAAAGAAAAAAGGCCTAATGGTGTGATGGCTATTCCTTTGCTCTACGTTAGTGAAATTAGTCACAATGACTGAGGTTAGTAGGGATGCCCAATTACCATTACAATATTGAGAGTAGTGCCCACTAGTCCCCTAAACAAAATGCCAATGAGAGGTGACAAGCCTCTCCTATCACACTTGCCCAATCCAATTATTTCTATTTGTTCAATTTTTTGTTTTCATGATACCTCTGCTCCATGGCTAGAACAGCTTGAACATTTCCCCAACAATCCTTAATCAGTGGTTTTTAGTTACCAAACTCCATTTACAACCTTTCCTTTGACTTCATTTTATGACTTCTGCAGTAAGTCTCATGCAACATATGTACACACTGAAATGGTTTCCCTTCTACACTTTACCTACTTTGGACAATTTAAAAACTCAGCCACATGTTGAGTGAAACAAGATAGCTCCTAAATATCTGCCTCTCAGGACATTCTCCTGGCAAGGAAATGATAGGTCAGGAAGAGGCTCCAGAGCACCCGTTGGTTTTTTGTAGCAGTAAGACCTTCCTACAACAGTGAAAGAAATGTTGGCAGTTTTCTACAACCTGTTGGTCCTCTGCTCTCCCCTCCAGTACTTTATCTTTTCCCATCCCCTTACTCTCCTGTTCCTTGGCCAGGCACTACCAAATCATGGAAGAGAAACAACTGGTCTCTGGCTGTTTCCCCTGCATCAGCACCCACGGGAGAGAAAGGAGCCACAAGGATCAATTAGGGAAGTAAAATTCACATCTTTACTGCTGCTACTCTACAGGGTAATAGGCAGCTGTTTGCAGGCCCAGATTACACAACTCATTACTGTGCTTATATGCAGTGTTCTTATACAATGCTCTTCATCAGTAGGTCTCAAAATACTTCTAAAAGGGAGCATCACTTCCATTTCACAGACAGGAAAACTGAGGCAGAGAGGTGAAATGACTTACTGAAGGTCACTCAACCAAAGAACAGAAGACCCAAGACAAGAATCCCGATCTCTTAAATCCCAGTGCAATGCAGTCTAGTATAACATATGGCCCCGATTGTACCATTCAAAGGAATACCAGGCGTGTCTACACATGATGCTATGTTGTTGTAATGTTGACGGGCAAAAACCGTGATGCTGCAGCTATGTTGCTGTAGCAACGCGCTCCCTCATTATACCGTGCTGCTACGGTGACATAGCAGCTAAAAATAACTGTGCATGGCGGGTACAGAGCAGTACAGGCTGCTACTGTGCCATCATTTAGTACTTCCAAAATGAAGTACTAAATCACAGTGCAGTAACAATGGCACCGTATGGCCACATGTAGACGCACCCACTGAGAGCTATTTTAGGAGGCTATTCATTTGGGTTAACCAGTGTACCATTTTTCAGAAATCCTGAAAACTTGTAGCTCCCACAGTTGGAACAAAACTTGGTCAGCTTTCTTGAAGATCAAGCTGCTGGTGTCTTATTTTGAACAGCTAAAATGAGAAGCCATTAGCTGTAATGATCTCATTACTTAAGCAAAACCCAACCTACCATCACGGGAGTCAAACGGTACAATTCTTAATGGAAAGGGCTGCTCCAAATGGAGCAACAGCAAAGTGCTGAGAATAAGACTGGATGCAACTGGAACCATACAAATATAAGTTAGACCTGCCTTTCCAAATAAGTGGCAATAAAAACTTAATAGCATACCATAAATACCAAGATGTGTTTGCAACCTATGTTTAAACTTAATCATTTGTCCTGATTTGGTTACATTTCTTTTTATTGTCCTTCCCTTTGGAATAAATTAGCTACCATAGCAATAAAATGGTCATTGGCATATGTGCAGCTCAGTAATATCCAGGCTCAATACAAAGCACGGCCTGTCAGATAAAGATGTACCAATTTAAACAATCAGCTGTGAAACACAGGAGTCCAATATACATCACATGCCTGGTATTAACAAATGCTACACTGAGACATGCGATTATAATCACACCTGAAGAGATGTTTGTTTTTTCCTGAAATAAATTTTAAATCTATATGTGCATTCATATTCTCCCACAGAAACATTCAAACAGCCAGGGGCAGACTTGAGGAAAGTGCTAAAAATGTTTGCTTTTGGAACAACTGACTTTTGCTTAAGTTTTTTACTTAGAAGTACAGGTATTATTCTTGTTACAGCCCTTTTGTGAATAGTACAAGCAAATAGAGACCTCGACAGTTATCACACGTGCACACACGGCTCTTATTGGGCTAATGCAGATATGCAGGTGCTAAGGTAGAATTTAGGAATCTCTCCTGCAAAATGGCTCATATTGTGCTTATTTTTTTTTTGTTGCTATCAAAAAACCTGACCTATGTTAAACCTATGAAAACAAAAAACATGAGCATTACTCTCCTTGTACTCAGAGACACATTTAAAAAGCGATATAAGAGTTAATGTACTTTTATTATGTCTGTGCTTGAGCATTCATATCTAAGGGTCAGACATGTGATAGAAAAGTAATGAGACCATGTTGAGAAAAAATGAGGTAGTCAACAGGAAAATCAACCTCATTTATAATAATATCCCTGTGATCAGCAGGTGCATAACTCTCCCAGCTATGGTCATTAACTGCATTCATTTCACACTTAACGTCTACATTTGCAAATCCATTTGAAAGTAAAATTACTTTTCAATTCAATTTTCAAATTCTATTTTATATCTTCAACTTTGATTGACTATTCTCCTCACAATGGCAACTATAGCAAAAATGTGAGTAAATGGTAGCAACTACCCAAGAGGATAAACTCATCTGCTCAGATTACCTATTCACTTTGCTCCTATATATACAAGACTTTACAAGCATTTGTTAATGTTCATTTCAAGGCTTAAAATCAACTTAGAAAAAGATCAGCTTAGAAAAAAACTGATGTTGGACTGTTGAAGGGATGCTTCATTTTGCTCGCTTGTTCTTAAAAATCAGAGTTTCCTCTCCTTTTAAATGGCTCAACCTGAAAGTTTACCAAATATGAAAGCAGATCTTGTGCTAAGGCTGATGAAGAAAGAAAACTCCCATATAATTCACCTATTCATTTAAGCCTCTTAAAACTTGGGTTCTGTATCTTGGTAAAGACAGACAGAGTGGAGTTAATTACTGGTATGCAGATACAAACATTAATTTTAGTATTCTAAAAGTATTCAGCCTTCATACGAGCTATCCATAGATCACAAACTGCTTTGTACAGGTGGATTAAGATCTTTATTTCTGTTCTGTAGGCAGGCAACCAGAGAAGAGAAAAGCTGAAGAGACTCACTAATGTCACAGACTTCAATTCCCTCATTCAGCTAATAGTGCATATTTATCATTTAGCTCCGTGGCCCAAAATACAATGCAATTTAGTTCTGTTCTCTCATGACACTTGGCTACGTCAACAACCCATCTACAAATTTAAGTAGTCAAGAAGGTAATCATAGCAGATTGAACAATTATTGAGTATAGGCCTAATTTAATACCAGGGGTGTAGGTTGTAGCC